ACAGAGAACAAATCTGTCTCGAATCACCCTCCACAGGCAAGGGATGGGCGCCTCTCAGGTAGGTCGGAATTGTGTTCTTTGGCTCCTTCTCCTAGTACTCTTTGTGGCACTCTAACGCATGTGGGATCCAAACAGTTTATCCCCTTAGTGAACATTTACGGTGTTGTTTCGGGAAGTCAGGTAGCGTGTGACAAGCGCAGGAGGGGCCACTAAGATTTGGTAGTCCCTGTAACCGCTTATTATCATTGTACTGACCAGCTGGCAATCAACCGCTCGAGTGTGAGCTCGACTGTCCATGTCTACGTCTCCCTATAAACAATCAGACGCATTTGAAGCAATAACAGCGCGCTATAAGCCGTGGCTTGGAAGGCTGCCAACTGAGGAAATAACCTACCTCTCCTCCTTCTCCTTCTGCTTCGGTACGGAGAGTGGCTCCTTTTGAATGTGGCCTCTGCGGTGCCTTCACTCAGCAGGGATCCGAGCTATCACTTTAATGTCTGTGTGAAGTCCTGGTTCATCGCGCGTAGACAGACGGGTTAGTTGCAAATATAACCACAGCCACTGTGCCCGATCGCACCTCTGATGTGTTTGACTTTATCATGACACCAGGCCTAGGGGCATGAGGGAGTCACGTGCCTGGTAGATGCCGCGCAAGTCTACTATCACTGCATACAGACTAATCCACGCGCAATTTCGCGTCCCCACACCCACCCTGCTGTGTGACACACGGTTAGCCTCCTCGAAATAGAGGGTTGAACCGTCTTTTAACTGCGACTGTGGCGATATTTGCTTTGAAACTTAGTCAGTAAGGCTTTGGCTTTTGGTTGAAAACGATATCGGCCGTTTGGGCAATCACCTTGGCAAACAAGGAACTACAAATGAAATGAGTGGATGCGCAAAGATGGCACGATTTATGTCCTTGTTGTAGGCTTTCAAAGGCTGCCCGTTGTGAGTAGCATTGACAAATCTGGCGATAAGTAACTAGATCAGTAATAGTACCAACGTTTTACAAATTCTCGCAATTATACAGCATGAGGAGGATTCAAGTTCCTCTAAAGTGAGCATAAGAAAGTGAATTTTGATGCACAGATTCCAGAAAAAAAATTATATACGCTGTGCTGGAATTCAAAACAAACGAAAACATACTAATCTGAAGAGCAGGCTTTAATGTGGGAGCCGAACAGTCATCTCTAAGGATTTTCGGTCAAAAGAAAGAATACTACTTCATACTATTGTTACAGTTGCACCCCCACGTTTATACACAAGTATACTTAAAGATGTCACCTAATGTTTAGCGAGTTCTTTCGCAAATTGTAGACGGAGGAGAAAGTGAAAAATTAGAAAGCCAATGGTAATTACTAAGGCGGGTCGTTTAATGATGCAGGTCCTACCCTGGTCAACCGAAACCTGGAATACTTAACGTTACATGTGAGTAGGCTTCAACAATCTGTCCTGATTTCAGGCCGCAAACGAAGTGGTTATTCCGATAACCCTGATTTTTGACGGTAATCTTGCGCTTATGCCTTCGGTTCTAGGTTAAAAATTCTACGGGACAAAACGGAACCACCAATATTCCGTTTCGCAATTAATGTAAACCGATGAAGGCACTGACATTGAACCGTTTGTAAAGTCAAACAACATTGCGCTTTACAAAAAAAGCGTAATTGGCAATTCTGGTGGAAAGAATTATTTAGGCGGACAATGCTTATTAACGCGACGTGTGTGTATGTGTTATTCTTAAGAACGCAACTGCATGTTAGCTAAGGGGGGCGGGAGATGTCTACTGACAAGTTGGGTAGAATAAAGCTGTAAAGGGTAAGGTGAGTGGCTTATTGTCGACAGAAAGCAAACATACAAACCTGGAGAAGGCAACTTTGAAGGCGTTGGACGAAACTTCATCGAAGAGGTAATTTCTCAAGTCTT